AAGGAAACCAGAAGCGAGGGTCAAAGCCAGCATGGCGACCTCTTGGTGATGATTGTGCGAGGCAGAACAATACGAACGTCGAGTGTTGTTGGTGGTGGGTCGGAGGGATGAAACTACAATAGGACAAGTCGCTATTCCCACCAAAATAGGCGCAGATACCACCTGCGGGTGATGCTCCTGACCCTCCGTGGATTGGCGGCAGAGTGCCTACATTAGTGCGCCCATTCTCTCTTACTGCATCAGGTGGACTTTGTCAACTGGTTAGATAAATGTTCAAACCGAAGCCCCTTCTGCCTTGTCCGGGCAGATGTTCAGTTCTTTGGCATCTGCTAATGCAAGGGTGTACTCAGATGCCATTCTGGCCGGTCCCTTGCATGGCAATTGATTCATTAGTATTGGTTGGCAGTGATTATTATCTAGTAAGTGCTATTATATATACATTCAGCGTGATATCGCTGTCATCCATCAATTAGTGAGCCTCCAGTCCGACCCTGCCGGCAGATGCATCGTGTCAACATATAGTAGTTTCGCCTTTCGCCAAGATAGCACCCTCCAATTCTCTCATTGGAGGCTTCATGATCAAAAATATCTTCTGATAGTCCAGCCTGTGGGCAGTAAACTCCATAACTCGGCATCCGATCACTCCACACTATAATCCACCTTGAATAGAGAAGGACGATATAATGAGAATGAGGACGCATATAAACCCCCACGTGCAAGGAATCCATGTGTTCATCTCGTAGTACCCGGCACCATACACCGCACCAAGTCTAGGCCACCTGTGTTAGCAACTCTGCTGTTGATAAATCCGGGAGGCTAGGCCGTACACTAAACCGACAAGACTACCTGACAAGACAGCCTCGATGGCCGCCACAGTCAAGTAGACGAAAGGGACCGCCCATAGGTACTTCCATGACGAGATCTTGCGGCCGTGCGTGAAGATGGCAATGACGACGGCAGCCAAGTGGAAGAGGGCGTAGAAGACTAGTGTCCAGACGACGGTAAATCGCCAGATATCGCCAATATAGTAGAGCGTGAAATTTCTGTCGGGAGTCTTATCGTAGATCGTCTGGACGTTGAGGGATGGGAACGGCGGGGTGTGGTAGGTCTCAGGAGGCTGAGGAGCTGAACGCTGCATCTTGTCGTCGCTTGGGGATGTTCCGTCGTCGCGATACCATTCCGGGGCGGGCACACATGCTGCGCACTCGGTATAGACTCTTTACGAGATCCTCCGAGGATATCGCGAAGCTGGCGCTGGGGCCGGGAATCAGAGCGTGGGCGCGAGAATCATCGACCAATTGTCTGGTGTTGAAGTAGATGAGTCGCCTGCCCAGTCTGGTGTTTACTTACGACATCTCCATATCACCCAAGTCATTAATTAGTGGCGGCCCAGAGCCCGCATTTGGGGGGCGGGTCCCCTGAGCTGCCATGCAGAGGCTCTAATTGCCCGCTGGGGCACTGTCGGACAGCACCTCCAATCACCAAACAGGCCCTCAGGCTCGGTACGCGGCACGTCACAAGATCCCTGGACTTTGAGCCTCGGCATTCGACTGATAGTCCTCACTCTCCAACATCCTCCATCGCGCACTCACACCCGCTACGAAACCCCGAGAGTCAATCCTCTCGATACCCAGGACAAAATGGCCGACCGGCTACTCAACACCGTGTTGCAGTATTACCAGGACGTCCACGATGCTGCGAGAACGGAGCAGATCATCGGGTCGACCGCGCACCTCCTCGCCCAGCTCTCCAACCCTCTCAACCTGGGTATCCTGACCTCCCAGCTTCTCACAGCCCGAGCGATCTGGCATAACCCCGACGGGCTCCGCACGTCCATTCGCATCGTCAGCATCTACAACACCGCTGCGTCCCGCGTCCGCGAGCAGGAGAAGGAGAAGAATGCAGGAATCGGTCTCCGGGGCGGCGGCGGACTCCATTGCGAGGACTGGGTTCGCGCAGTCGTCAAGGGAGCTGACGATCGGTCGCGCCGGTGGCAGCATCTCCTTATCCTCACCGGTGTATTGATGGGGATGGAAAACGACGACCGGCGATCGCTCACTGCAGCTATGCGAAATACCCTCGAGAACGCGATCGTCACGGCTGCGAACCTGGCTCTGGAGACGCATGTGCAGGATGGCCCTCTTGCTGCTGCGTCCATAGTGATGGCGCTCAACTTTGCGTTCCCCCTGCTATCCGAATTCAACAGATCCCAGGTCAATTGCAATGCGCTTTTGCCCATCATTGTCCGCACCATCACTACCGAGGAAGGGTTCCGTGACGGTCAATTCCTCGAGGCCATCGCGCGCGATGTCTCCGGTACGCTCGACACAGTTCTCAACTGGCCCGCAAACTCTCTTTCGTTCCAGGCTCTTCAGGCCATGGATCAGCGACCGTTGATGGGAAACATGGGTCCATTGTCTAAGCTTGCTGGGTTCGCTGTCTCTCAGGCCCAGGACACAACCGCTGTGCTCTCGGCCCAACAGCAATTACTCAACTTCACTGGAACCATGCTGAATCTGTGGAGGAGACTCCCCTTCAGCGATGTAGATCCAGCTCTGGAAGCAGCCAAACTGAGCTCCGAGACCGCCCAGACCACTTGGCCGGCTCTCTGGCAGCTCCTGCGAAAGCTACTCTTCGGAGTCGTGGCAATCCTACAGGCCATCGTCTCCCGCAGTCTTCTGGATCCTTTGATGATCAATGAAAGGGCTGCTCCCGCCATCTCTTCCAAATCTCTCCATATTCTAAGGAATCTATCCTTCATTTCTTCCCACGGTGGGAACAGCGCCTTCCAAGTCTACACATTCACATACATGGCTTCCATCGATGTCATCTCCCGTCACCCACCGGCCTGCGAGATGTATCTGGCGGAAACACGACCGCAAGCTCCGGTTATGCTGCCAAGCCAACACTGCCAGAGGACCTTGGACCTCTTCTTCCTCAATCTCGCAGAGCATCTTCCCCTGTCGCTGTCCACGAATGCATGCGAGAATCTCGTGCTTGAGCCAGCTCTTGCATACATCTCCCACGATGGACCAATGACCCGCACCATTGTCGAGCTATTCGAAGCTGCCCACAGCGCCGTCCTATCCGTCCTGTCATGCCCACAGCACAGTCCTCTCACCGTCCGCATGGCCCCCTTCTACATCCTGAAGCTCTTCGAGTCATTCCCAAGACACATCTCTCCCCGTCAATTCAGACTAGCTTTCAAGACCGTCATGCAGATTGTATCACCGCCCTTCCCCGTTGCCGCCATAAACCCAGACCTATCGGAGACTCTTCTGGAGCTCCTCCGGCATTACATGGCCAACGCGTCCACCGAGCCGCTCCCGGCCACTCTGGATGCCGAGAATGGCCAGGCGGGGACCCAGCAAGCCGAGGACCTCTTGTCCTACCAAAGTTCGCTCGCTCTGGCCCTCGTCGACTCATTGCCGTTCTTGCCGCTGCCGATTGTGGAGGATTGGCTCGCCACGGCTGCTCAGGCGCTGAATGAGATTGAAGATCCTGGCCTGAGGGAGCCCGTCAAGAGGAGGTTCCTAGATATCCTCGTCAGTGGAGAGATGGATGTCGAGCGAGCGGCCATTGGCGTGAATTGGTGGGGCACGAGGGGCGGTCGAGAATCTGTTCTTTTCGGCCGGACCTCTGAGTCTCTTATGATGAGCGGCGCCATTGGGCCTGAGCGGTCGAGCCATCTATGAAGGCCGTATGTTTAAATCAACCCGTGCTCATCGAGACCAAACACCACGCTTCGTCTAGACGAGTCTCCGCTCCGGCTCCATCCAGGAGCCATGTATCTTGTCCTGCTATGACAGGGTAAGCCTACGATTCCTATGCGGCTTCATATATTGCCAAAGTTTCCTCTCGTGGGCGTAAGAAACACGCCCATAATACATTAGGAGCTCAATTCTCTGTCCTAGTCTGGATGGCATCTCTCGATGCCAATCGAAAATGCCATCGGGCAGCTAGGCCAGCCTGCCCTCCATAGTAATGAATCCGGACGGGACGCCCGGATATCGTCAATGGTGCAGGCACTACAGTCATCAAACAACACTTTTCCCTCCTAAAAGTCGCAGGATCAAGTGATTGGCAGGGCGAATCACGGATACCTCATCCAATAGCTGCTGCAAGCTTTGGCAGATCCCAGAATACTGCAGTTCCGCTGCAAATATCTTTCCTGAGGCTCGGGGCCTTAGATGGTCAACTCCAACCCCAGCGGACGAACATTTATGCCCAGCCTCGAGTACACAGACAGCGCTCTCTTAGTTTAGACAGCTTTACTTAGCTTCTCATTACTATAATGGTGTTCATTGAGTTTAGCGTAGCATTTAGTAACTCTCCCAGCGTACTATTTATACAAGACATCTTGCCTCACCAACGTCCAACTAGTTCATTCCTGTACGCATGCTCTACCCTCCCTCCACATGCTGCATACCTACCAAATCCTCTCTTCCCCGCATCCGTTTGTGTAGCTCTACGCAGAGTCATTGCAGACCACCACCCAATAAAGTTCATCTCAGACCCGGATAAGCATAGCATGACGTCCCTCCTCAGACAAGCGTAGATCATGTCGTCAGTGAGGTGAGCCTACCCCGCCAATCCTCCCTCGTCATCCAACACATCCCCCAATCCCGCGACAGCTCCTACCAATAGATCACCTCTCGTAGAAATTGTGCTACCACCTCAACCCGCCAATGGCTCTCTCCCCCAGGCTCAATTCTGGATAACGTCATGGTGGGAGGATAGACCCCAGCCTATTGAATTCAAAACACAGGGTCCGCGCAGCTCCTTCCCCAAGACCCCCCGATGATGAGGAAGGAATGGAGGGATCGTCAGTCACACAGAGTAGGAAAAGCTGTCCCCTACGTAGCTATAAGAAGGGAAGCTCTGGTCCAGCTGCTTCAGCTTCACCATCACACCTCTTTTCCCACAAGCTCCAAGACTGCATCATATCAACTCACACCATAACAACATCCTCATAACAAAACCCAACTGATACTCCCATCATGTCTCAGCAAAGAGATCCCTACGGTGTACGTTCCCTTCCATGAACATTCATAAATCCATTTTCCAACAAGAGTGCAGATCCCCATCAACCCACACCGATCCTACGAGCAGTACGGCGCCAACGCTGTCAGTAACAACCATAAAATGAATAATTCTTCTTCTTCATTCACACATATACTAACCAGCAGCATTCCAGATGAACGAAGGCGGAGGCTTTCTCGAAACACGCGGCCAGGGTTACGCCGAAAACATGACCACAGAGGGCGCTCCCCGCCGAGAGCAGCAGATGAAGACGGAGAACATCGCCGACCAGCAGGGCTCGGACACCCAGAGGTATGGCTCTGACAGCCGCGACGACGACATGTACGGCATCGGACTCGGCGGCGGCGACCGCCACCACATCCCCGGCGATCTCGAGACGAGCCCGACCGATAAGTCGTCGCAGCGTCGCCGGGATGAGGATCTGTATGACCGAGACACTGGTCTCCAGCAGCAGCAGTATGACCGAGACACGGGCCTCCAGCAGCAGCAAGGGCGCCAGCAGGGCTTCCAGCAGCAGTCGACTGAACAGGGCCAAAAGGGGGACAGCATGCTCGGCAAGATGATGGAAAAGACCGGCGGGGTTCTCGGTAGCAAGCGCCTGGAAGAGCAGGGTCGTGAGAAACGAAACGACCCAAGGAACTATGACTGAGGGGGGACTCTTGAAACTTTCTGGTGGAACTTGGGGTGACGATTAAGCTGCCGTCCTTGTATTATTAACACTTTCTTGCGTCTCTTGCTCCTTGTATGAATATCCTAAAAAAATTATCATTCTGCTTTTCCCTCCATCCATGACTCTGTTAGGTCAGCGAGATTATGCGTAAGAAAATGGAAGCCAACACGCTCAACTCCATACCCAAGCAAGGAAACCATCAAGTTCCCACTGCAATTCCGACTACATGCGTGAGCTAGCCAGCTCCAATCACGAACATGTAAACGCTCCTTTAGTTTACTCCAACTTCTTCTCGACTTTGACCAGCACTGCTCCATCTGACAACTTGTCGTTCGCATCGAAGAGATGAATGAATCTGTATCCAACTCCCAATCTGTCCAGCTTGACACACGCCCACGCTGCGAGATCATCCTTGCCAATCTCGTCATCCCTGATGGTGAAGCGCACGAACGTCAGTCCATCGACTACACCTGGGATATCTTTGAGCTCGACTTTCTCGCTCCCCATGTCGATGTGGCAACCTTTGTACGACTTCGTCTTGACCTTGTATTCGTCCTCACGCTCGAGTTCCTTGTTCTGGATCTGCCCTCCTCGAACCTCCTCAGAAGAATCCGAGTACACGGCCACCTTGACGTACGGCCTGAAGCTCCTGTCGTGGGTGTCACCCAGTGGCAGGGGGATATTCTGGGCCGCAAGGAAGGTAATCGTCAAGCTAAGCTTCTGTGTGACAACATCCTTGACAATAGAACGTCCCTCCAATTCTGGGTGGTATCCTATTCCAATGATTTTGTCAGTCAATCATACACTCTTTGCATTTTACTATTAAGAACTGCTCGCAGACGTACCTGGGGGTTTGAGAACATAGCCTCCTGTGCCAGCAAACATGGCTTCGTTGAGCATCATTGACCTACTGTTCTTCTTTTGCCAGTTGAGCGCGACGATCTGAACACCCGCACCCCAGAAAGGGGACGGATCCAAGTTTTGGGACCCGGCCCGAAAACCAGACGGGTAGGTACGCATCATGAAGCGCTTATTGTGTTCCCAAATGCCCCATTCAGTTCGTCCATAAGCTCCCATGTAAAATGTCGATTCCGCAAGGGAGAAGATGTGTGTTGTCATTGTGGCTTCTGGCTGGGTAAAGCTTTTGAAGGACACGCCTTTGGTGTAGACACCCATACGGCTCAGCTCTTGGATAGTCTTGGGAGCCTTGGCTACTTTAGCCTCTTTGGTCTCTTTCACTTCCTTTACCTCCTTTGATTCATTTGATACCTTGGTCTCTGTGGTTTCCTTGATCTCCTTGGATCCGTCCGGCAAGGTGGTTTCCTTTGTTTTTGTAACTTCCTTGGTCTCTTTTGGCCCATCAGAGACGTTGGTTTCCTTGGTCAGTGTGACCTCCTTGGCCTCATTAGACACCTTAGACTCAACAGCTATCTTGGTTTCCTCGGTCTCCGTAGGGGCCTTCGTCTCGCTAGGACCCTTGGACTCGTCGGGCACCTTGGTTTCCTTGGTCAGTTGAATTTCTGTGGGTTTCTCAGTCTCATTGAGACCCTTTGACTCGCCAGGGGATGTCGTAGTTTCCTTAGCGGTCGGGACTGCTTTGGTCTCCTTGGCCTCTGTGGACTCCTTGACTCCCTCGATAGTTTCCGCTGCAGGCTGAATATCTTCGTTGCTCAGCTTCTTCTCTGGAGGTGAATACTTGACCTTGATCAAGATTTTATTTTTCAATTCACCAGGGCTGGGCAAAAGAGCTGGCTCCGAATCACGCTCAGCCACCAAGTATTCACCCCATATCTCCTTCATAATTTTCACCATGGAGAGCTGCTGTGCAGGGTTGCAGTGAACTTCTAAGCTGATAATCAAAGGAGCGTCAGATGTGACGAAGGCACTCTCCTTGATGGCCACGCAGACCTCCCGGAAAGTGATCTTGGTCGTCCTCGTATGGCCATGGGTCACTACGGGTTCAACCTCGATAACCCCGGGTTCCTCGACGACAATGCTAGAGACGGCATCTGTGCTCAGTGTAGCCTGGTCACAGTCTTTGGCGGGCGGGCTGTCCGTGCCTTTTGGTTTTTCAGACCTCTTTTCCGGCCGCTTTAAACGCGTGGACAAGGAACGAGAAATTTTGCTCTTTAATGCGCCAAAGGTACTCCTTCGCTTCGGCTTGCCAAACACCGGGTCGCTAGCACTGTCGCTGTCCTTGGCGGCAGGTTTGGCTGCGGCTTCGGCTTCTTTTTTAGCTTTGGTATCAGCTTTCTGGGCCTTCGCTTTAGAGTTCTCCTCGTCACTGGAACTGGAACTGCTGCTGCTGCTACTGCTACTGTCGTCCTCGCCATTCCAGACATCAATCTCAACACAACGACAACCCCTGAGCAGAACATCGGTGTACGTTTCCGTGGTGCTCTCCCCAAATACTTGCTTTCCCGCGAGGTAAGTATTGTGACTGGAGCTGATGAAGTAGCTGGAGAGTGGCCATGACAGATCTGTCGGCTTGGGAGGGGTGGTGAGGGCGGCAGAAGAGGAGGTCATGTAACCCAGAAACTTGTGGAAATCAAGCTCATCATAAGTGAGAAGCTTGGAACTGTTTGAGTCTTCCGAGTCTTGGTGTTGGATGTCATGTAGAAAGGCGGCTATTTGCTCCTTGGTCCATTTCTTATCTGGCCCGGCGTGGTTTTCAAAGATCTTCTGGAGGTGAGGTAGGACCTTGTCTTGAACAACCTTGATTGAACGGTTTCTTTCTCCAAGACCTCCTCCAGCTAGCTCTGCATGGGATGATGGAGACGAGGTCGCGAGAACTGCATTGGCGGACGCTGCCATTGCTGCCAAGGCCATGGTGTGTGAGAGAGAAGATAGCACCTCAGTAGAGTGGATGCTTACGAGGGATATGATAAGAAGCGGAAGGAAAAGACTCCAATCGACGAGGACAACCAAAAAAAGGGCGAGGAGCTAGTTGAGGTGGCTTGAGGAGGGGAAACAAGGCCGGTGGTGCTTCAATGGCGCCTCAATGGGTGCTGGATGAAGGTGAGAGGAGCAGAGGAGGATATGAGCCACGAACAGCAAGACAGTGAATCAAAGCTGTGGCTCAGCCCAGGCAGGACAGTGAATGAAATATACGTAGCACCTTGGCTTTCTTTCAGCTTGCCAGGCCACTCCGCTGTTGGTGACCCTTGCTGCAGCTGCTTGCGAAGGCTCCACTCAGCGCCAGATCAACCAGCGTAACTGCCCACGCTCTAGACCACGCGGGCAGCCACGACCAGCGCGCACCTGCTGATGTGCCTCACTCTCAGTACTTGGCGCCCCAAAGTCCCCGGCTCCTATTTGCTGGCCCACGGATCGTCCAGGGGTAGTGGGTAAGCCTACCAGCTACCTTAATCCGAGCAATGTTGCATTGCTTAGTAGGGTGCTGCCTCTGCAATTACATATACGCGGCTGCCGGGTTGTGGTGATTCGCGGGCTTGGCCATGTGCATTGCAGCACAAATCCAATATCGAGAATGCAAATAAGATATTACACAAAAACACACCGCCCATGGAAACACCCATGACGTCTCACGGGAGCTGGCCAGCGAGTTGCTCTGGCTACCACGCAAGCACCGCCCTCCTCGCCAGGCCCCCTGCATCAATATGCCATGGTCCCAGCTTGCCAACCAACATACGCAGTGCCTCAGTAACGCATGTCTGTGCGGGCGGATATCGCTCCATGCTCCTTTCCACGAATCGTACTTTTTGCAAACATGCACAGCTGAAACGACGCGCGTCAGTGGGCAATCAGTCCCATCCGTTGCAATCTAACCCAGCAACTCTTGGGTGATGTACTACCCTACAGCGTCGATCATGAAATTGCGCTCGAGCCTGCCGTGCTACCCTACAACCTCACTGCTTCGTTTCAACAAACTCGACTGCAGCCTGGGAGGATTAATTCGAAATCATTAAAGACGCTACCAATCGGTTATGATTGCAAATTCGTTCGTTCGGATTTTTTTTGTATCGATCTTTAACGGATTCCGTGTTTCCTATTGGTATGTCGTATGTCGTAGCACAATATCTCATTATAAAACCTATTTATGTACACATCACCAATGTAAATCACGAATAAAATCGTAGGAGCTTCTCCTTAGTCTACCTTTTATCTATACTTAGAGAGAGTCTTCTTACGGAGGGGCCCCTAAGTCGACAATCTATTTAAGTAACTATAACGCATGATGTTCCAGCTCTCTATGTCCTCCAGCTTTCACTCTTTTATAAGAGCCAAGCCCAGACACTCGTCGCTTTTATAAACTTGAGGTTGTATGGATTGAGCAATAGTTTATACTAGGTAGTATGCTCATGGCGAGATAAGAGTGTTGTTTGAGCTAAGGAAGAGGAAGAGGGCGTCGAGTGCCAATACGGGGGCGGGTGTCAAGAATACGTGCAGCATCGACAGGCGACTTAGTAACTTTGCGGATAGTTGACTTTGCACTTTTGAGCGCCGCCGAGCTTTGACTTCGGGGACGCGCAAATGACCTCGTTCCTCATAGCTAACCTTTTGCTGCAGAGTCTGGATACGAGGCGAGTAAAAAGTCTGTTTGCTATGTCACGCGGCATCAGCCCTTCTTCTATTCACACAAGCAAGACATTATATAAAGCCACAAAGCGGCTCGCTTTGTTTCCCTCTTCTTCTCCCTCCACAGTATCTTAGATACAGAAGACCAGCAGCCGTGTCAGAGCAATGATGAAGTTGATAGTCCTGCTAGGCAGGGCGATCTACTGAGCCCCGACGCCCTACCCTTTGCGACAAGAACGATGAAGTCGACAGTTCCGCTAGGCGGACAAACGCACCGAGTTCTTTTTCCACGGATAGCCATGTGTACTCTTTTTTTGTTCTATTATGTTCTAATTTATGTTCCAAAAGAATCAGTGAAAATTGGTTCTGCTATCTTTTGGCGAGAGAACCGAGTGCAACAGGGATTAATCCGCTGTTTTGTATTGTCGAGCGGCACACAGAAAGGCACGGGAAGTAAATATTATACTTGCTTGGATCGTGGTTCTCGGGGTGGGAGCATTCGACATCATTCCTCAGGAAGCATGGTATGAAATTGGCCCAGGCTTTGCTGAAGGGGTCTTTTGTAGAGGGAAAAACTCGATACAATCCCCTCTCGACATGCGGGCTCAATCATACGTAGTAGGCCTATTTACATATCAAGCAACTGCTCTTTTCGACTCTAGTCGTTTCTCTTTGCCCTTCTTGTTCTTCCTCCCCGTATTCTCCTCCCCACGTTCCCGCGCTTCGTCCTTTCTCCTCTCCAGAAAACCTTCCAGATCGACGTGAATCCTCAGGCCCTTGGTTGTCATCGTATCGAACACTGACTTTAATTCACTCGACTCCATGGCGTGAACCAACGTCCCAAATGCCTCCATCATAACCGCTTTGGACCATGGACAATGGCGCAGGCCGCGATAGAACACGTCCTTGGCCTTTTCCCGTAGCTCCCTGTTCACATAGCAATGCCGAATATAACCGATCCAAATTTGTGGGTTGTTCTTGCACTCGTCACTCATCACCGCGTGCTCGAACGCTGCCTTGGCCGTATTCACGTTTCCACGAGCAATCTCGTGTTCGATGGCAAATATCCGGCTGCCGATACAGTCATGTCGCCCCACAAGAACTTTGTCGTACAGCAAACTGCGAGTTTCGTCCACAACTCGCAGGCTGGAGTCTGACCATTCCAGCAAAGACAAAAAGATTGTATTGCGCGGGAACTGTTCGATGAAGTTGGTGAGCCAGTATTGTGTGTATTCCCTCCGGGACGGTCTGTCCAAAGACTGTTAGCGACAAATAAATATACGTAATTCCAGTTACTATGCGTAACACTTACCCGTTCATGGCGTTGAAATATAAGAGGCGGGCGGCAAACTGCAGCAAGCGTTCATGAGCAGCCTGCATTTTGTCAACATTGGTAGAGGCTTGCAATTCGATGCTGGCCATCTCAATCCTTTGCATAGCAGCCACAATATTTCCCTGGGATGGAGATCTTGGCTCCGTACATCCCTCCGATGTAAGGTAGGATAGCAGAGCAAGGCATTCTCCCTGGCTTTCAGCACCATCCAAATCTCCCGTAGATGCCAAATACCCGACATTGGAAGTGAAGTAACGGCGCGCTTTCAGGACATGTGCAGGTGATACATCATACTCGTCATCGGTGTTCTTTGCCAACGTCGTATCTGCAGCGGAACATAACCTTCTCGCTGCTTGTTTTTGGTTGCCGGCATTGAGCTCTATCCAGGACCATGTTCGCCACAGCTCAGCTGCCTCAGATTGAGACGAGTCTAGAAAAAGTTGTGTTGCGGATGACAGAACTTTCTTCGCAACATCGACCTTGCCCTCTGCATACTCAGCCAAAGCATAAGCATTGTATAGACGAGGATTGGTAGGATATCGTTTCAGCACCCCTTTCGCAAGGCTCTTGACACTCTCCCGTCCCCCAAAAGAGCATAGCGCTAGTGAATACATAGCGAGCTCTGGTGTAGGATCCTGTTTGGAGAGGTGCTTTGCCACATTGAGTATCCAACCCTGTTCGAGACGTTTGGGATTCGCTTTTGAGCCAAGGTAGTGATACCAGTCGTGGTCTGGGAAGAGCAAATCAGCGCTACAGGAGGCATATAGTATAGACCCGCTTCTTGGTGATGGCTTTCGAACTTCTAGAGGATCCAAACTCTCGCTCGGATGGTCATTGGCCTTCTGGGCTTCCCCATTTATCAAGTTCAAACTGAGGAACTGATCTTGGACTGCTGCCTCGGCCCACTTGCCTGCGGTCGAGAGTGGAGGTAGGCCGCAGAAAATGAAAAACGCATTCATCAACTGATCCTTGGCATCAACTAGAGCATGTTCAGGGATATAGAGGAGAAATGTCTGGATATCGGAGTACATCACAACTCGGAATGGGTCATCCTCTGTGCCCTCGTCCATCGTACGGGCAGGCTTTCTAGCTTGATCAGCCATGTGTCGTTCAGATATCGCCCATGACTTGTATACATCGCGCGACGTCTCCGCAGCCCCCGGCCCTGCTTGGAGTGGCTCAGGGGCATCTCCATCATTACCCGAATTTACGAAGCTTTCCCACCCGGCAGCAGACGTCTCGCCAATACGGGGGACCTCGCTCTCCCAGAACTCACTGAAAGACGAAAGCGCAGCCTGGGCGTCTGGTAAGCCTTTGGGTCTAAAAAAAGTGGCTTCCAAGGTACTTTGCCATGCAGCAACGGCCAATTCCTTGAACCCAGCATCGTATACGAAGACTGTAAGTCGTAGAAATACATAGACTGCTTGCGTCAAAGTATCAGGTGAAAGCTTAGCATCGAGGGATGAAGATAGCTCTTTGAGCCGGTCAAGGAGAGTCTGCTTAATCTCTCCATACTGGAATGAAGATATGTTGGACATGGTAAAGTCCAAATGAGTTTTCCAGAGCTCGAAATCCTCCTTTGTCTCTCCCTGGAGCTCGGCCCATCTCTTCATCGCAGTCTTACCAGTCCAGACTTTGATACCCTCGCGCATCAGGCGGTTCAGTACCATGCTACGGTCTGACGGATCTTTGGCATGGGTCAAGGCCGATTCAAGCATGGATACCTTGATCTCTGTAAAGCTCTTTGCCTCGTTTTCGAGAATCTCATGATCAAGGCTCTCTCCGGCTTTGAGCAGGGCATCTTGATGGTCTACCAACTGGAGCCAGGCTGCAATGTCTTCTGGGTGATCCTTTACTTGACGGTTCAGCTGTATCGAGCGCCATTTTAGAGGGTGAGTCTGCTCCAATGGAGGGGCTTCGTCTTCCGAGTTTGATTCATCGGATGACTCGCTATCAG